TTTGTTTCTTTTCAAATATATTTGCAGTTTATGTATTTGATGATGTTATATTTTGATTGAGCTATTCTTTTTCTTATTGTTCATATCATTGTGAATGTTGTAGTCATTTAGTCATGCATTGTACGGTATGTACGATATAGTATGATTAAATGCAACAAATACTTATGTTTATGTTGATTGTTTGTATGTGCATGACTGACTATGATGAAACACCTATTGATGGTATTAGTGGGGAACACTAATGTACCCGTGCATGTAAATGAAAAATGGTATTGATATTGAAGTACTTTAAGCTATACAAATTTTTAGACATTGCCTCCTGTGACAGATGTTTTTATATAAAATGATATTGATATGATAATGATATATACCATTCTGAATAACATGTCAAGTTGTTATATTGGTTTATAAAGAAGCTTAACTGGTATGCATATTGTTTTTTCTTGTCTTTGTATTGCTGTAGTTTAAAAGTAGTATTTATTGGTTCATTTAGCTCACAATTATTTCAACTTACTTTTCAGATAAATTTTAAGTAATTCAAAAATACATTAGAAGAAAAAATCTTATAGAATATGGGGACAACCAACAACAAGATAATTTTAATTTATTATTTTAATTTAAATTGTTTAGGGATTCTTTCATCTATTAGACTGTAGATGAATATAGAAAATTTATTTCACACTGTCCGACCGTGTGTACCTGTCTTGGTTAATTACAAGCCCCGGACCGGGTCGTGACAATCACTATTTGCACATTTAACAAGAAACAAATGAATCCAACTTGTGTAACACATGCTTAACGTTCACAGAAAGTGATTTAATAGGACTTAGAGTTTGAATTTTCTATTGAAATTAGTACGTTGCGTAGTATGATTCCATGCAAGGGTAAATCAAATCTTCATAGATCACAAGGTACCAATTTATTTAACTTCATTTCTTTAAATGTAAACACATGATAATAGAGTTTAAAATCAACTTATAATGAAATGATCAAAACATTATGATAATTCTAGTAAGAATTTAGTACCATATTAAATTATCGAGCACTATGAGTTAGTATTTTTATAATTTAGATCTTTGTCACATTTTTTAATCAAAATCAAGAGAACCAAATAAGTCTTAAAAATTGTAAATGAACAGGAGCAAATATACCAAAGAAAAGTTGTCTCGTTATTCTAAGATGTTTTTCCTAAGAATCATTCAAAGAATTACACATTCAACTTGCGCTAATACTATTGAAATTGGAAAGAGAAAATTTTTCAATCCAAAGTGCTCAATTACCTGCTTTAGAGCAACAACTGAAAAACTCCTCAGTTTCTAGACCAATTAATATTTATTATCTCAAAATATACCATAATCTAATCCAAGAGCAATTCAAAAAAAAAAAAAATCCGTCAGATTTTACTTTCAAGTCTCGAAATTCATCAGCTATCAATTGTTGAATATAATTAGATGCTATATATAATATTCCATACAATGGTGCACACCACATATTCAACTTTTGCAACAATAGCAATAATACAACTTCCAAACAATATTTATATATGAACCACAACGTTTCATAAAATAGCTCAAAACTCACATAAACATGAGCATAGGAGGAATTATTAGGTTTAAAATCCAAAATATTTTCACGATTATTAATATGTGATTAATTTAGTCTCAGAATATAACATTTCCTCAAATTTATCTTTTCATTATACTAAATTGATTGGTTTCTAGAAATTGTGATGAAAATTTGATCCCAATTCAATCCCTACACAAAATTGAATTAAATTAATCCTAATTGGGACCAATTTTATGTCTCAGTTTTGTACAGTCAAGATATTGAATTGGGATTAATTTTGTATCATAATTTCTATATGAGAGATCATTTAGGATCAATTTTTTATAGTTGAGGGACTAAATTATAGAAATGTGATTATCTGGGATTAAATTAGGCACACACGAATAATCTGATGACCATCGTGGGATTAAATCATTGCCAATTCAGCACTTCATGCACATAGGAATAGATAAATTCATCCAAAGCTCCACTTCTGTAGGAATCTATCTAATTCCAAAAATTGTTTGTACTTGCATGTATGTATCATTTCTTGATGTTTCCTTGACAAACTTATACCATCACTATTTGCACTTTTACAAAGAAACAAGTGCACCAAACTTGTGTGACACATGCTTAACGTTCGCAAAAAACGATGCAAGGTGACCCAGAGTTAGAATTTTCTAGTGAAATTAATATGATGCATAGTATGATTTCATGAATAGGAAGATGAAATATTTATAGATCATATGGTAACAATTTGTTCAATTACTTCCTTTCTTTAAATGTAAGCATGCGATACTTGAGTTTAAAATTAACTTATAATGAAATGATTGGAACATTACGATAATTCTAGCAAGAGTTTGTATCAAATAAAATTATCAAGCACAATGAAATTTTTTTTTTAATAATCTAGATTATTGACACATTTTTTAATCAAAATCAAGAGAATCAAATGAGTCAGTATTAAAAAATGTAGCTAAAAAAGAGCAAAAATATCAAAAAAAGCTCTCTTGTTATTATAAGATGTTTTTCATAAGAATCACTCAAAAAATTTACACATTCAACTGGCAAAAATACTAATTAAATTGGAAATATACTTTTTTTCAACCCAAAGTTCCCAATTACCTACTTTAGAGCAACATTTTATAGAGTCCTCATAGTCTAAGACCAATTAATATTTATTATCTGAAAATATACCATTACTCAATTTTAAATTAATCCAAAAAAATATTAGGTTGTTCAGATTTTAATTTTAAATCTCAAAATTCATCAGCTATCAATGGCTGAATCTAGTCAGGTGCTATATATAACATTCCATAAAACGGCACATAGCACACTCAACTTTGCAATAGGAGCAATAATACAACTTCGAAATAATATTTAAATATAAATCACAACTTTTTATAAAATAGCTCAAAACTCACATAGACACGAGCATATGAGAAATTTATTAGGTTTAAAATTCAAAATATTTTCATGATTATCCATATGTGATTAATTTATTCTCAGAATATTATATTTCCGTCTCTTGACGATACTAAATTGATTCATTTGGTTTCTCATGTAGAAATTGTGATGCAAATTTGTTCCGAATTCAATCCCTATACAAAGTTGATCACAGTTGGACCAATTTTATGTCACAATTCTGTATAGTCAAGAGATTGAATTGGGATTAAATTTGTATCACAATTTCTACATGGAGAGATCATTTAGAATCAATTTTTTATAGTTGATGGACTAAATTTTAGAAATGTGATACTTTGGGATTAAATTGGCCACGCACGAGTAGGTAGAGGACTATTGTGGGACTAAATCATTGCAAATCCAACACTTCACGCACATAGGAATAGATAAAATCATCCAAAGCTCCCCTGCTTTAGGAGTCTATATAATTCCAAAAATCATATGTACTTGCATGTATGCATCAATTGTTGATGTTTCTTAGACAAATGTATATAATCACTATTTGCACTTTTTACAAAAAAGAAAGTCCACCAAACTTGTGTAATGCCTGCTTAATGTTCGCACAATATAATGCAAGATGACTAAGAGTTAGAATTTTCTAGTGAAATTCATATGATGCATAGTATGACTCCATGCTTGGGAAAATTAAATATTAATAGATCACAATGTACCAATTTATTCAACAACTTTCTTTAAATGTAAGCTTGCGATGCTTGAGTTTAAAATCAACTTATAATGAAATGATCAGAACATTATGATAATTCTTGCAAGAGGTTATCGCGCACAATGAGTTCTTTTTTTTTAATAATCTAGATTTTTGACACGTTTTTTAATCAAAATCATGAGAACCAAATGAGTCAATATTACAAATGTAGATTAATAGGAGCAATAATACCAAAGAAAAATTCTCTCGTTATTATAAGATTTTTTTCATATGAATCACTCAAAAAGAATTTTACATTCAACTTGAACTAATATTTAATTAAATTGGAAAAGAAATTTTTTTAACCCAAATTTCCCAATTACCCACTTTAGAGAAACAATTTATAGAGTCCTCATTATCTAGACCAATTAATATTTATTATCTGAAAATATACCATAACTCAACTTTAAAATAATCCAAAAAAAAAAATAGTCCGTTCAAATTTTAAATTCAAATCTCGAATTCATCAGCTATCAATGGCTGAATCTAGTCAAGTGTTATATATAAAATTCCATAAAATGGTGCATTGCACATATCGAACTTCCGAATCATGAGCAATAATACAACTTCCATATAATATTTACATATAAATCACAACTTTTCATAAAATAGCTCAAAACTCACATAGCACGAGCATAAGGGAAAATTATCAGGTTTAAAACCCAAAATATTTTCACAATTATTCATATGTGATTAATATAGTCTCGGAGTATTATATTTCTCCAATTTTGTCTATTGACCATCTAAATTGATTCATATGGTTTCTCATGTAGAAATTTTGATGCAAATTTGATCCCAATTCAATCCCTATACAAAATTGAACTAGATTTACTCCCAATTGAGACCAATTTATAGTCACAGTTTTGTATAGTCAAGAGATCGATTGGGATTAAATTTATATCACAATTTCTACATGAGATATCATTTAGGATCAATTTTTTATAGTTGAGGGACTAAATAATAGATATGTGATACTCTGGGATTAAAGTGGTCATGCACGAATAGTTGGATGACTGTTTTGGGATTAAATCATCGCTGATCCAGCATACATGCACATAGGAATATATAAAATTATCCAAAGCTCCGCTGCTTCAGGAATCTAGATGATTTCAAAAAGTTCAAGGTATTAAATCTAAAATCTACCACGCTGGTCCTGCATTACCCGTGGTTTATATCTCTGTGTGTATGTGTGCAAAGTGTAATTATCTGTTTACGTTTCCAAGATATCATTATGATGATGTGGTCTTTGCTTATGCTGATCTGATATTCTTGTACCATCACACTACAGGTGCACCTTGAACTTTTGTATTGCCCTTATGGTATGGAGAATGAAATGATGAATCCTTTCGCTGCTCAAAAATTTTCTATGACCTCTTTGGAGAAAGTTTTCAAAAGTGGCACGAATGGAGGTGAGGTGGTTGACACATCAAGTTACAAAAAAAAGGATGTAATTGTCAGAGGAGTTCTATCTGCGACCGTTATATCTGCCGAAGACCTGCCTGCAATGGATGTACTGGGAAAAGCAGATCCTTTTGTTGTATTGACTATGAAGAAAACAGAAGCGAAAAACAAAACCCGGGTAACTTATTCTTGTGTTGGGAGATTGTTTTGAGTGTTAGTTTGTCAATTTACATAATGGTGACTATCTGCAGGTCGTGAATGATAGCTTGAACCCAACATGGAACCAGACTTTTGACTTTGTAGTAGAAGATGGGCTACATGATATGCTTATTTTGGAAGTTTATGATCACGATACCTTTGGAAAGGTGTGTTCTCATTACTGCAAAAACTTTTTTATTTAAAAGTTGTGAAGCTTTAATACATTATTGCTGATGCAAATGAGCAAAAAATGGTCAACATTGGAACTCTCATTTTGATATAAGCAACATGCTTTTTTTTAATTCTTAAATTATAAAAGTATTAGAGATTTGCAATACCGCATTCGACTTCACACACACATACACACATACACACACGCACATACATGTATCTATATGTATGTATGTATCTATATGTATGTATGTATGTATGTATCTATCTATCTATCTATATGTATTTATATTTGTATGTCTATATATATCTATATGCATGTATATATGTGTGTGTTGTTTGATGTTGGGCATCCTAGAGACAATGAGGGATCGTATCATTGCACGAGACATCCCTTGCTCGACCGGGACGAGGCATCTTTCACTTGGGACAGTTGAAACCGATTCAGAAGCGTAGTCTGAGGGCTGACTAACCTTCCTCGTATGGGCTTATCACCTTCTTTGTGGTGTAGGGTACACTGATATTTACCTCAAGTCTATCTAGAATGGGGTCCACTCCTATTTACCTTAAGTCTATATAGGTTATTTTTGTTGTATTTTAGGTCATTTTTTATCGAGTTTTTGTCAGGACAGACGTCGTCATCTCCTGTTTTGTCGTATAGGGTTGTAACCAAGGGCAAGTGATACTTTGACGGTATCTTTTTTCGAGGTGATGGTTATGCTTTAAGTGTCAAGTAGTACTCTGATTGTAGCTCGCTCCTAATGTAGGGATACGATCCCTCATTGTCTCTAGGATGCCCAACATCACACAACACAGGAGACGACGACGGCTGAGACCAGTTCAGAAGCGCAGTCTGAGGGCTGACTAGTCTTCCTTGTATGGGATTATCGCTTCCTTTGTGGTGTTGGGTCCACTCATATTTACCTTAAGTATATATAGAATGGGGTCCACTCCTATTCACCTTAAGTCTATATAGGTGGTTGTTATTGTGTTTTAGGTCATTTTTTATTGAGTTTTTATCAGGACAATCGTTGTCGTCTCCTGTTTTCCTTATAGGGTTGTAACCAATGGCAAGTGATGCTTCGGTTGCATCTTGTTCTGAGGTGGTTGTTATCCTTTAAGGGTCAAGTAGTATTGCGACTGTAGCTCGCTCCCGAGAGGGTATTTATCTTCGACTTCCCTTCCTCTACAACCTTCTCTTTGTTGTTGTCATCATCGTATTTGTTGTAGCCACTTGTAAAACAACCTCTTTGTTGTTTACCTCTAACCGCCTACCACCCAGTCACCTCCCACCTTGTTGTCATCCCTTCTAGCCACCTTCCATGCTGCAATGAGCCTTCCACAACCTTCCCTGCTGCTACCACTTTGCCACAAACTTCCCTGCTACTGCCACCTTACCACAGCCCTGTAGCAACCCCGCTGCCACCCTTCTAGCAACTAGTGGCTGCCTTCCCAGTTATAGATGCTACCTTTTCCGCCTACCGTATTCATCTCTTGTTGACAGTCCACTTTCCAGCCATTTGACAATCATTTGTTGCCTTCCCCGTTGCAGCTGCCGCTTTCCCTTAATTCCTTTCGACCATCCAACCCTCCATATTTCTCCTTAAACCACGACACCACCACCCTCGACCTAAGCCCTAGTTGAGTTTGTCTTGTCTCTTTTGTTATTTCTTATTTTTGAATGTCTTTGGTTGTAATATTTATTTGATTTCAGCAAAAAAAGTTGCATTTCCATTATCATTTGGGTTATCTGGTATGAATTGGTATCATAGCTAGCCTAACTCTTGTCTTATCCTAGGGTTTTTTCTAAAGTCTCAATCACCTAACCCAAAAATTTTCTCTCATCCTACATCACCAATATACATTCTTTCACCGACTCAAACCCAAACCTTAGTCATGTCACCGTAGAGACAATAGCAAATATGAGAAATCCACTAAGAGGTTTCCTAAAGATTTATAGGAAAGATATGTAATGAGAAATCCTCCGACTACAATAGAGACTCGTTGTCTTCGTGAAGAGTACATCTAGAGTGGTCACGAAAATTCCATTTGATTTCTGATATAAAGAACAACTACCCCAATCCCGAAGATTTGACTTGAAATGTTGGAGAAGCTCGAATTTTGAAAGGTGGATTTGTCATAGTTTGACAATGACATGGATTCAGATGAGTTCATCAAGCGGCTCTGGATATTATGATGTGTCTTTGAGTATCAAGACGTTGCACCATACGGAATGGTGAAACGAACCACCAAAAAGTTAAGGAAGAGTACATATTTTTTGTGGGAGAACTTGAAGATTCTTCAACAGCAAGAAGCGAAGAGTAATATTACGACCAACTCGAAGATGAAATAAGAGATGCAGCGTCAATACCTATCAATTCTTTAAGTAAATGATGTTGAAACCATAGCTTCAAAAGTGGTGAGACAACATCATCAGATATTCGTCACATCTCATAGGCATAGTTCAACCCCAAGATCAAGCCAAACGAGTGTACCCAGGGGAACATCCAAGTTGCTGACTCCACTTAAGGAGAAGCTAATTTAGAGTGGAAAATCGGTGAAGCCAACCAACATTCTCGAATATGTTCTTTTCAAAAGTTCATCAAGTCCCACGATTTTGGGGACATTGTATCAGATTACCCAAACAAGTGGATGATCTATTTCATCGAGCAATGAGCGGTTGAAGAAATTGACAATGTCATGGTAACACTGAAGAAAGAGAGGACATAAAGGAGTACTAGATTCCAATGAATGAGGGCAAAAAACACGTAATTCAAGTTGAGCCTATGAGAGAATTAACATTGATGGTCCATGTTCGTCTTCAGTCTGTGGAATCGACATGAAACACATGGCAACCCTAGACGAGAATTTCAGACTTTTCAGATATATTCCACTTATTGTGTTGCCTCTACTAATGGAGGTTGAACATGTCAGAAATTACTCTTTTGTGCCACTTTTGGAAGACTACTTAGAATCATTTGGGCAGTAAAATTTTTTGGGAATGTACCCATCGACAGATGATCTTACATGATGGATGAGCCACAACGTTAGGTATCACCTTAGGATCATTTGGGGAAAGAACATTCTTCAATGGGATCTAGTTTCCACCAAAGAAGAAGAGGTCTCTCCTAAGCATTTGCTATTGAGAATTGCTCAATTTGCCATAGATTTAGTCATAAAGTTCATTCCTCTTCACATATTTGTTTATCAAATATGTCCAACGGAGCGAAAGAAGTGTGGGAAGCAATTTACATATGCAATAACTCAAGATCTAATTTGTGAGAATACTCGTCTATCTACTGTGACAGCTCAGATTGTGCCAAAAGAGGATGAGTAATTAATTATTCTATCGGGATGTGTTGTGGAATTACAACACCTACAAGATTGATTTATCGGGAGACTACAACATTTCCTCTACCTTTAATTTAGTCGACCTGACACTTACTACGCGGAGCTAAACCCGGTAGACTGACGTGGGGCATCCAAGAGATGACACGGGATCGCTTCCCCACATGAGGGCGTGTAAAATGCAACGTCTAGGCTGGAGTACATCTCCCTTTCAACTAGGACGGGGCGTCTCACTTAGGACCGTTGAGACCAGTTCATAAGCACAGTGAGGGCCGTCGTACCTTCCTTACATGACATCATGATCTCTTTTGTGGAGTGGGGTCCACTCATATTTAATCTAGGTTTATATAGGTTTTTTGTGTTTTAGGTCAGTTTTTTATTGTGTTTTTCTCAGCCACCACTGTTCTTTGTTTTCTCTTCTAGAGCAGTATCCAAGGGCGAATGGTGCTCCGACTGTATCTCATTTCGAGGTGACAGTTACTCTCCAAGGGTCGAGTGGTGTTTCCACTATAGCTCACTTCTGAGGTGGTATTTTTCTCCGACTTCCCTTCATTCGCAACCTTCCCTATGTTGTCGCAGTCACCGTAGTTGCTGTAGCCACACAGAAAACAACCTCTTTGTGTTTTCTTACAGCAGCATACCACCAAGCCACTTCTCATCTTGGCACCATCCCTTCCAGCCACCATCCTTGTTGTAGTGAGCCTCGTACAATTCTTCAAGCACCCTGCCACAACCTTCCCTGCTGCCGCAATCTTTTTAAAAAAATTTAGCAACCCCATCGCCACCCTAGGGAGTGGAGCCCCTTATTATTACCTAATAGTATATATGTTGTTTTCTTGGTATTTAGGGTTAGGTTTTGATTCAGTTTCTGTTAGGGCAGCCATTGGAGTACAGGTTTTCCTTCTAGGGCTGTTTCCAAAGGAGAGAAGGTGCCAGCTGTAACTTATTTTGAAGTAGTGTTCATCTATTGCTTCCCACAGCTTCCTCCCCTCCGCTGCCTCCATCCAAAAAAACAGCCTCTATGCTGTTTTTCTGTGGCCGCTCATCCCTTCCAGCCACCTCCTACTTGCTGCAGCCCCTTCCAGCCACCTCCCACTGCACCTTCGATTTGCTTCCATACCTTCCAGTCACCATCCCTGCTGCTGCGAGCCTCCCACAATCCTTCTATCACCCTACCACAACCTTCCTGCACAGCCACTGCCCCCCCAACCTTGCTGGCGCTCACCAGATAGCCACCTGCCGCCTTCCATTGCTGCCTCCCAACCATCCAGCCTTCTATACTTACTATTTCTTCTTAAACTGCAGTACCACCTCCCTCGACGTAAGCCTCAGTTGAGTTTGTGTTGTGTTTTTTTTTTTTGTTATTTCCTAGTTTCAAGCGTCTTTGATTGTATTCTCTTTTTGTCTTTCAATAATAAAAGTTGTATTTTCGTTGTCATTTGGGTTAACTTCGGTATCATGTTCTCTAAAATATTTGAGCTCTTCTCAGTCATTTTTCAATACCACTCACCATTAGTACTAGGGGTGGAGATCTGAAGCTCAAAATGGCTTTGTGGCAAGTTTATCCGAGATGGACTTCAAATGGGGTATTCGTTATGGAGGAATGCGTAACTATGTTAAAGGTGATATGAAGGCATGACAGGGTGTTTGGCCATGTTTTGGGATGTTTGTTGTACCCAGGTAGCAGATGCTCAAGTTCCATTTCACTGTCCCCATTGGATTGATGATTAAATGAATGAAATAATTAGTGATCAATTGAGTGTTCTAGACCCAAGTTTTTGTTTGTGGATCGCTCCAATTTTTGTGCAAGTAGGATCGACTCCTTGGTTTGAAATTTTCTTAAGAAGCATCTACACATATATCCTTGATATAAGCATGCAGTAATTGGACGAGAAATCCTTGGTAGAAATTTTGACCTGATCAGAGTTTTCAAACTTCGGCTTTCAGTAAAAATATTATTTCTGGTGCTTGAATGATCCTTTAAACACGAGAAAAAGGTGTTACTCGAGCTATTCAGTCAAGCGATCGTGTTTTAAGAATGTTATTTCTTTATATATTTATTTGCCATGATCTGATGATATTAATGGCCTCAATTTAGGCTTGGAAAGGTTATATTAGGTGTTCTGCAGCTGAAATCGGCTGGGGGACAGCAGGCTTGACATCGTTGGCAGCTGTCTCGGCTGCAAACAGCGACCCAACAGTGATCTGGTAAGGTGTGGCCTGCTGGACGCTGAACCGGAAGAGATAAACAGCAGTTTTCTGCTGAAACAGCGGCTTGAATGGCTGCTATGGCTGAAAATCAACTGTTCGGATGGTAATATAGCGATATAAGAGTGGTGAAGAGGTTCCACCACCTGTTCCTAAGCAATGAACAGACACACCGCATACAATAAGAAATTATACAACACTCCGGAGAGTAAAATTCAGAGAAAACATTTCTTAACATACAAAAAAAACCTGAAAATCCAAAACCCACGTACCGCATAGATAAGTTGACACACAGCAAAATACCTAATAAGAAACTAGGGAAATAGGTAAGAACCAAATCTAAAGAAATGAAAGAAGGAAACTTGCTAAATAAAAGAAAATAAGATAGAAAATAAAAAAGAAATATCATAAGGAATCCAGTCTTTTTATGTTTGGGTGAATGGCATTAAAACATTTCTGAAACTTGACTAACGTTTTAACACAGGAAATGGTGTCACCCAAGCGATTGCATTTGCAATAAAAAATGCTATCTTCATGCTGTATGTATTTCATGCATTTCTCTGCCATGATTTGATGATATTTTTAGGTTCTCAAGTTTGTAAATATTGAAATACATTCTTTTTAGGAACACAAATATTTCCTTAGATATCCTGTCCACATTTATCATAATTCCGTATACTGAAAGTTAGAATGTTGCATGTTATTAAAATTGCAAATGAAATGCTTCAAACTGACGTCATCTGCCCAATAATAGGATTTGATTGGCAAGAGCATAATGACCCTAACAAGGGCTTTGATCGAAGGGGAATACCAAGAAAGTGTTATTCTGGAAGGAGCCAAGTCTGGAAAGCTAAATGTGCACCTCAAATGGACACCACAGCCAATTTATCGTGATTCATAAATTCATAGAAGATTTAGACAGCAGATTTGCGTTTCTTATCAGCTTTCTAGTCTTCATATTGAATCGCATCTGAAGGAGCTTCTGACATTGTTCTCTACTGAATCACAGCAGATTTGGACAGCGTCCATTGTGTTTGTTTCATCATGTATTGTAAATTCCAGAATAGATGGGAATGAGTGTATTTGAGATGTAATCTGAAAGTACCGATTTTCAGTTAATTTTCATTTGTGTTTTTACTAAACATTTCAATCATTTGGGGATGCATATTGAACATAATTTTTTGGATTTTTTTCCCGAGTTGTGGCAGTTTTTTATTCACATAATTCTTGGTGAAAATAGACACTTTCATGTGCCATTCAATTTGGATTGAGGTGATGCTCAATTATTGTTTCTTTTCAGAGAAAATTTGTAGGAAATCTGTTAGACAAAATCATGTAAATCTTTTTTTATGCTCATTTTAATTTTTATTGGAATCATTTTCTTAATTTTGCTGCAGTTTTTAGTAGTCTTTATTTGCTTCCATTTTCATTATGTATTTTCTAGCTGGTTTATTTTAGAATTAATATTTTTCCTTTTATTTGAACTTTGTAATATGTATTTAAACCCATGTGCCTATCAATGAGATTATGCAACTCTATCCTCTAAATTTAATATGGTATTAGAGATATGGTTCTTAACTTTAGAGCATCTACCCTAGCAGTCGACCGCCTACATAGTATCGAATGAATCAAAATACATGGTCGTCCCCACCACTGTGTCGGATTCCTGACACCCTGTTTCTCAATCCTCGACCTCCATCAACAGCTACCCATATCTTGGTGCATGGCCTCTCTGCAGTATTACCACGAGCTCTTCGCCTGCAATCTCATCCTGCCTCCACGCATTTGCCTCAAATCACGTCGTCTCGTATTTTGCGCACATATGATCTGCATGAACTCGTGCCCGCCGCTTCTCTAGACTATGGGAATTTTCCCGCTCAGGCCTCCTTGCAGAAATAATCGACACCGTCTCCTTGCAAAATTTCCACTTGACTTGTTGGTAGCCGATTGCAGATGCGAAGGATCCCTGTCGTGTACCTGATTTTTCTCCAGTTGGCATACTCTCTCCAGCTAGTGTTTCCATGGGTGTTTCTAGCCACTAGCTTTTCCCTTGTCCAGCCTCCAGATCAGCCAATGTCTCGGTTGCCCGACATCAAATTAGGCTCAGCTGGAATCATGATAGATTTTCACCATTGAGCCTTCTTCAGACAGTGTACTTTACACCAGAGGGTCGACACCGATTTTAATCCATCCACAATCTAGAGGACCGAAAAGTCACAAGAACTTTCTATTCAATGCCCATAAACTAAGTGGATTTAATTTTCTCCAATGGTCCTAAGTCTCGTCGTTGTGTGTCAAGGGATGCGGGAAATTGTGAACCTCTTGAAACTGACCCGTCATATGAAACTAGGAATAGGAGAATTTCATGGTCACGTTGTGGTTTATTAACTCTGCGGAGACTGTTATTGGGCATTCAAATATGTTTCTTCCTTATGTCAATGTACTATGGACTGCCATTTGGGACACCTACTCAGACGTAATGAACATCAGCCAACTTTATGAGCTTTCCAAGAAGATCTGGGAGGCAAAACAAGGATCGAGAATGGTGATTCAGCATTATAATGATTTTGTGGTCTTATGGATAGAATGTGATCTTTATTATAACTATACGTGGGAATTTTCAATAGATCTTTTTCTCTTTAGAAAATTGTAAAAAAAAGATTGCATGCTTCAAGTTCTGGCTTGCCTTAACAAAGATCTTGATAATGTCTGGGGTTGTATTCTTGGTCGAGATCCCTTCCTCTCCCTCGTGCTGCTTTCACAAAAATTCTACACGAAGAAAGTCGGAGATTTGTCATGCTCGTCACTTCCACTTCAGTAGAATCATCTGCCTTGGTCACCAATAACACTCAACATCCATTGCCTCTCGAGCCACTGGCTTCACTTGTGATTACTGTCACAAATCCAATTATACTCGGGACAAGTGTTGAAAATTCCACGAAAACCACCATACAAATCTTCAGTCAAATCATCCTCTGTTAAGGGTCTCACCACGACAACCGAATTTGTTACAGTACAACCAGTTCCCATTCAAAACACTCCAGAATCATCTCACAATCGATCTCCCATTCAGATTGAGCAATTAATCAAACTCTTTGAGATCCAGTCAGCTCTCTTTTGGACAATCGATCTCCCACATCTGTCAAGGTGCCATTCATATGGTACTTACATCTTGTCTCTTCCAATTCATGGATCATTGATTCAGGTGTCACGAGCCACATAATTGGATGCTCTGAAGTTTTCTCGACATATTATTCATGCTCCGGAAAAGATACAGTTAAAATTGTTGATTGCTCGTGCAATAGTATTAACAACCAGTCTAATTTTAGAATATGTGTTACATGTACCTCTTTTGAAGTGTAACATTTTATCTATCAGCAAGTTGACACTTGACATTGATTGTGTGACACATTTTTCTCCTGTTGTCTATGTTTTTAAGGATAGTTCAAGGAGGATGATTGAAACTGCTAAGAGGGTTGATGGGCTCTACTTCCAAGCAAAAGGCACAAAAAACAAGGACACTTTTCTAGTAATTGCAATTTTCCTCGAACCATTGAATGTCTTATTATGTGTCGCATTATCGTTTTGGTTATTCCAAATTTTAATATTTAAAATAATTATCTTCATCGATGTTTACTAATAAAAGTCTTGCTAACTTCAAATGTGAGATTTGTGAAAACTAAACATAATCGCATTCCTTATCCACCACTCTTACATGCCTTCCGCTCCTTTTTTCACTTATTTGCTATGAGACCCTCTCGCACTTCCAACTACACTATTAAACGGTGATATCTTATCTTAATTGATGAACACACTTGAATGAAGTGAGTCTATATCTTAAAAGATAAATTTAAAGTTGTAGTCACTTTAAAAACTTTCACTTTTTCGTTTTAAGCCATTTTAAATCGTCGATTCAAGTTTTTCAAACTGACAATGGCCGTGAATTTTTTAACTCTATTTTGAATGAATACTTAGTAAGTAAGGGCATCCTCCATCATAGCTCATGTACGGGTAGGGGTGTAAACGAACCAAACACGAACAAACAGAGTTTGTTCTTATTCGGTTTGTTTGAAATTTAGTTCGTTTGAAATAAGCTCGTGTTCAAAATTGTTCGTGAAGTCATTGTTCATGTTCGTTTCTTAACGAATGAGTCAAACATGAGCTATTCGCGAACGACGAGTCAGTTTGACATCCCTAATATTATTATTATTATTATTATTATTATTATTATTATTATTATTATTATTATAATAT